CGCATTACTTCGCACGCGTGGAATTAATAATGCCTCAGAGGAATCCTTCTCGGAGAATTCTTGCTCTCTTCACCAACATGAATGTCAGTTGTGATAAAAGAGACAACATGGGCAGCCACGCATCAGGGACACATTGAATGGACCGGGTTAAAGTATTTTGGAGAATAGAGACAAAACGATCGATGGAATAGGATGCAGTAGAAGTGTGAGATGTTAGTGCAATAAGTCAAAAGGTCAGAAAGAGTTTCTAGTGAAGCACTCCGTGAACCAAGTGGAAGCGTTCCCGCCGCCAGCATTTGTGACAGATGTCCGGCGGGAATTTGAACGCGTCCTTTCTTTTTCGTTTTTTTTTACCAAAACAAATGCAATTTTTCTTTTCATTCTTATCGTGAACGATGGGTCTCAAGCAGTGATTTACGGTTGAGATAAAATCATTTTTCCGGGAAGAATTCCTTTGAATATTTCAGGATTCAGTAGATCTACTCATAGGCGCTAGTCTTAGGTAAAAAAGAAAACAGTATACGCGTGACCTTAGGCACAATCATTTCCGTACCTCATCTCGAAAGCTCACCAATGGTGGATACACCCTTTTCAAGTGTAGCCTTGGCATTTTTCCTTGAAAAATCAAAAACGCTACCAAGCATCACTTTTGAAGCCACTTAGCGTTCTAGATCCAATTTCCTAGTGGGGTCAAGAACGGGAGCCTCCTATGTCTAAGGTTCGCAGGATCAGCCGGACCACTCACTTCTTCAATAATCTCCAACACACAGCATATAAGACAGATGCAAAGAAACTATCTGATTTATCCGATGACCTGAATAGTTTAACCTGACCTTTTGATGGTTGAACTTGAACTAGTTTCGCCGTCGTAACTATTTTGCACAGATCTCTATGAAGATATAACACCGAGATTTTGAATCAATTCGAAGATCTATCCCCGAAATTCTTTTTTTTTTCATCATGAACAAGGGATCCTTTTTATTTCGCTACCAATGTTATATAAAATTCTAACTATAGGTCTTTACAACGGATCCCACATTAGTTCATACTCCTGGCAACAACAAAAAATGCTGGACGATTATGATGGCTATCAACCACCTGACTTACATTTCATTTCAATAAAACAAAGTTCAAATCAGAACTCACCGAGCGCTGCCATTCTTCTTTCTTTTTATCGAACAGTGAATGACTGACGGGTAATGGAAGATGCATTTTCAGCACTACATCCTAAAAGCAAATTCGTGATTTTGTTCTTTGAATGGAACCTCTTGGTATAGAAGGGAAACGGAAAAATTTGAATTCTGATCAAACTAGGCACCATCAGGATTGAAGGAAAAGGGTATTATCAGATTCACTGCTGCGATCCCCCCTCTTGAAGCTGCTTCTCGGACCCATAGTGGTTGGGGTATACTTTGCAGTTCGTTTTGCAGTTGGAGTGTGAAGTAGATACGTATCGATCATGTGATCGCTCGAACTGTACACCGGAGTGCCAAGTATGACCTAACCCTAATAAAGAGTCCCCGTAGTTTGACGTCGGTCAGCACTTGCTTTCTACCCATCAATTCTATGGTCGAATGTGCGGTATAATGTATTGCTCTAGTGAACCCTAAACATCGCTACCCAAAGTGACACCTCCTCTTCTGACTACCAATGACATTCGGGTGGGAAGAAGAACAGGGAAATAAAGACTGACATAACTGGCGTGCTAATCTAGCTTAATTCAGGACAGCGATTACGGTAGGTTCCAGAGGAGTTCAGAAAGGACGTGGACATGCTCAATGGTACGCCAGTGGCGAAAAAGCAGAGAAATCCGTCAAGAAAACGCAAAACGGGACCCCTTTTTGGCCGTTGGTTTTCACTCATGAACAGGTAACAGCTCAGAAAGCGGACGTATGAACGAGTTCACGCAACGCGTTTGGTGGCACCATGCCAAACCATGCTCCAAGTCGAGTTGCTCCAGTTGTGCCGCTGCACAGCTCGTCCAAATCACCAACTAAACTAGTGGGTGGATCGCTTTTGGGGCGGAGCGCTTTTCAAGTCCTGCTCAGCAACCAGCGCACCTTTCGTCGTGAAAGCGCACACCTCGCTTCCTTGGCAGCCAAGTAACTGCTTCGTGTGGCGCATATACTTCCCGATGCGCTTCTTTATCGTAATCGCTTCCTTCAAGCCACTCCCACTGGAGATTCGGTAAATACAATAAATTCCACGTGAACAACTGGACTCAGCAGTATTTGGGCCCCCTTTTCCCCTCGAATTTGCCCAAAACTACGAGCCTACTCCAAAAAACCCCCTGCAAGCATCCCATCCTTGAATAGAGCACCACAGATTTTGGTCAACTACATGTGGTTGTTTGAGAATAGCCAGGGAAGTTCTGTCGACATATAACCAGCAATAACTGCTTCGGTGAGGTCAGGGAGGAGAGATAGGTTCGCTCATTCCACGCAAAAGTCTGCTTCTTGGGTGGTCGATCTTGCGCCTTGGCGACAAAGATCTAGGTAAGCCTTGTAGCCCTCTTGGTTCAATCGATACCGCCTGTTGGTTTAGTAGTCTGGAGAAATTGTCTTCAGGATTGTTTGGCTCATGAAAGGATCGGTCTCAATTGCTTTTCAGGCTCTGACGAAGGCGAAGAGGCCGAAACGTAAGCCTAATAAAAAGTGCTGAAATCTTGGTCAGGCTACAGCAAAACTATTCGCATCAACTTCCATGCCAAGATTAAGAGAAAGTCGTTCTTGGACCGATCCTTTCATGAGCCAAACAATCCTGAAGACAATTTCTCCAGACTACTAAACCAACAGGCGGTATCGATTGAACCAAGAGGGCTACAAGGCTTACCTAGATCTTTGTCGCCAAGGCGCAAGATCGACCACCCAAGAAGCAGACTTTTGCGTGGAATGAGCAAACCTATCTCTCCTCCCTGACCTC